GGCACGGGCTTTACCAGAGCTCCTTTCTGGCTTTTCTCTCAGTTCCTGGCGTTGTGACTTGGGTAAATTCTGATCAAAAATGAATGGAAGTGAATTTCTCATGAATTCCTTGCAGACAATTTTCAAAAGAGCTGTGAGGTGTTAATTGTGTAGCTATGAGCCTCGCTGGTTAACTGGCCTTAATGGATTTTATGGCAGTTCCTTGGGCACTCGGAAGGTTTGCCATACAGAGAAAATGATATTTAGCACATTGAAATCCTTTTAATAGATCTGTGTCTGTTGCACAGACTCCTAAACGACAAAAGCCATTATGTTGCTTCCCTCGGTTTTCCAGCCCATCTTTTTTTTTTATCATCCCTGATCCCTGTAGAGTTCTTTTCAGCCATCCTAGAAGTTCATCTTAAACTCACTGGCTGTGTTTAGAAAATGCTGGAGGAAAGGCAAAACAATATTAGCTATGTCTCCTTGGGGATTTGAAGCTTTCATTTTCAGTCCCAAGAGCAGCACAACAGTTAAAGGGAAATGCTATCTTTTTCATCCCCCTGTTCTCAGTTTTCCTTCCATTGCTTCACATTTATGTATCAATTCAAGGAACCAATCTTGGGTCGGCTGATTGCCAGGGCTGGCACCAAAGGCAGGCATGGGCAAGTACCCTAGCAGAGGCCCAAAGAAAAGAGGCTGCGGGACGTTGCTTACAAAAAAATGACATGGATTTTCTGGCTGATGTTAAGAAAGATCAGAAAATGCTGTGGAAGCAGAGATGGAATTTCTTTTGTGCTTGGGGGTGCATCAACATCTACAGCATGTGAAACGGACAACACTGTCCACTCCTATCTTCTACTCGCTCTGAAGATCCTTAAGCAAAGTCTCAGTTGCCTAGGAACTTTCCTGTGAAATGGGCACAATGGCATGGCCTAGGTTATAGAGGAGAGGTGAAATAAGGGACAATCAGTTGAGAGAGCCTTGGCTGTATAAAAATGAAATGCATAAATAAATATCAAAATTATACATTTTCCTGGAAGAATGAAGACACAGTGGGAGTCTAGAAAAGCTAGCCTGAAACTGACTGACTTATACAGACTTTCTACAATTCATTTTGCCATGTGCCAAACTTTGAGTGAGCTGGTGCTTTCAGGCATGTGTCGCCACTTAATGGTGCAGCCTATTCCAGAAGTCTCCCCTTGGGACACCCAACGGCATCAGAAAAGGATGCCTTGGCCTGCTGCCACAGACTCCTGAATTTTAACATGTGGTTTTTCCTCCATGTTTTAAAAATAAGCGCATGAATTTGTATGTAATGCATACAACTTTCTAGCAATTATATACAAGCTTCAACAAAGCAGAGCAAATATTGAAATAAAGGTTTTTGAAGTTGCCATTCATATACGCTCCACTGAAATACTGAACTGTCAGAAGGTCCTCCGTTTATTGCATTATAGCAGATGCGTGTTTATCCTTCCAGTGTTGTAATATCAGTCTTGTAGCTGTCAGAAGGGCTTCGAGAATCCATTTCTTATTTTCGGCAAAGCATACAAAGACTTGAAAACAAACTAGAACAGCCTCTCCTTCCCTTCCCTTCCCTTCCCTTCCCTTCCCTTCAGAAAGGTCCTTCAGGGAGGCTTCTTCCGCTCGAGGGCCAAATGGCAGGACATTGGGCTCCTTTTCATTGATCCACTTGCTTTGCATGTCATTTCCACCCCTGCCTGTTCTAAAATGCATCCTCCTTTTCCAAGGCAGTCTGGTTCTCACGCTCTCAGTATCTTCGCTTCGCAACTTTCGTAACCTGCCAGATCCTCTGCCCATTGCTGTTCCTCTGCCTCCTGCTCTGAATCAGAAGACTCCATCTGTGGAGACTGTAACTTGGGAGAGCTGCCCCCACTATTCAAATGATTTTAATTGCAAACTGCCCAGAGAGCCGTACGGGGTGATAGGGCAGTATAAAAATGTAATAAATAATGTCATAAAAGGTTGGGCCAAGGGGATTGAAAGTCTTTAAATCTGAGAGCAAAATACCATTTCAGAGAAGGCCATCGGGGCTGCATTCAAGTGGGGGTCATATTTTAAAATACTGACATAGTTTTGCTTGAAGTTCTTCATGCTAGGCCTCGGAAAGCATTTCACCCTTTTAGAAGGGAGAAAAAATGGCATAAAGTCGATAAATCCTCAGATTATTAACCAGTGCTTGGGGAAAGGGATGGGGCCAGGAGAAGGGGGCAGGGTCCTCAGGGGAACTCACATGACTGCACTAGAGTTGCCCAGAGCTCAGATTCCACACCTCAGTGAAGGGCAGTGACCACTAGGTCTTTGGAACCAGTGTGATGAGCATCTGTCCCAGATCTGTGTCCCCAGACATCTTTCTTGGTGACTAGCAAACTTTCCCCCAGTTCCTCCAACTGTAAAAAACAAAACAGTTAACCTTCATTTAGCTGCCTGAATTGCTGCAAAAGAGCTTTCCATTGGTGAACCGGACTGTGAAATCAAAGGAATGTGCCATGTTTTTGAGCTGAGACGCCCGCTTCTGGCAAGCACTCTGTGTTTTCGGTGGGTCAGTTGTCTCTTGCCACCCTTCTGAGGGCAGCCATTTTGTGGTGGCCAGCACAACAGTTCCTCAGACTGCCAGAGAGACCCAAACTGTTCGCCTAGCCTTGGCCTTGATCCGCCTGGCGTTTCTGTGGTGTAGACACTTTTCCCCAGGTCATGTCAGTTCATGGTGGCTGCATAGTTGAGGACTTCTGGTTGAATACCCTTGACTTTATAAATGTGAAGTTAAACCAAACGGGTTTTCACTGAACGTTTCTGTCCCAGTTTGAGAAGCCAAATGTACTTCCAGCAAGGAAAATTCGTCCGTGGATCCCATGATCAGGCTTTTTTTCCTGTATTCTTTGGGGAGGTTGTCCCTCTCCGCTGAGGTTCAGCTGGAGGTGGCTTGAAGCTTGACGCCTGAATAGAACCACTTGGCTCCTAAGCTCAGCTAATTACTGAATTCTACCTGATGGATTTAGCTGGCTTTAAAAAAAGGAAGGAAGAAAAGCCTGCTTTGTCGAGATCTCGGCTTCCCAAACGGCCGGAGAAGATGATGAAAGCGCTGCCAATGTGTCTATAAAAAGGATCAGTGTTTGACGCGATGGCGCTACACAGAGATCTGAGCACATCAGCATCTCTCTCTCTCCCTCAGCCTGCCAGGCCTCTTTACGGCGATATGAAAAGAATTGCCAGAGTCGCTCAGGGTGTAGCCCTTCTTTTGTAAGACTTTACAGTGTAATCCTAAATGCCCTTGCGTGGAAGTCAGTCCTACTGAACTCAGCGGGGGACACCTAGGAGGGAGCTTGGGTAAGATCAGGATGCGAGAATCGCCGAAGGAAGCAAACGAATGGGCTGGATGATCAAGTGCTTAAATGGTGGAAGGGAGGATGGGATTCGAGCTGGTGACTCCTATATGATCCTGCCTCTGGGTAATTCAGCTCTCTTTTGTCAGCCTGCCTTTGTCGGAATGTAAGAAAAGCCCCGCTGGGTCAGATCATCTAGTCCAGCGTTCAGTTCACACAGTGGCCAGATGCAGCAGCAACCTCCTGGCCAAGTTCCCCAGCACCTGGGGGGCTACAGATGCACTGCTTCTGATGGGGGGTGGGTAGATCCAAGCCAACAAGGTTGGTACCCATTGATAGCCTTCCCCTCCATGGTGGGTCATTCAGTGTGACTACGACATCCTGAAAACTTGCTGATTCTAACAACAACTACTAGCTTTAAAGATGTTAATACAATATGGATTTGTTTTTTTTTAAGTGATGGGTAGGTGCTACCTCTGCCTTTTGTGAGAGGAAGGGAATGCCAGCCAAAGGAAGGGCTTTTCTAACAGATAATTTTCAGCCTGGTTTTTCAGGGTCTCCCTGCCGTTCCTCCCCCTCCACCCATATTCTTCAGGTCACTCCACTCTGCAGAGTCTTTGGATTCTCTGACTGGATTCGGTCAACGTGACAGCACATGTGCAAAGGTTAATTAAGGGTTGGTTAAGGGTTGTTAAGGGCAGTGGCTTACTGTGTTGTCTGGACCCAGCTGCATTAATGGATTATGTCCTGTTAGCCATGAACAACCCATGAAGAGATCCCCTGGTATGCTGCTGGGTGGTGACCTGCGTGTTGGTTGTGGTTATCAAACCATGGTTTCTTGTCTTGGCTGGGTTTGGATGATACAGTTACCCACTGTTACCCCATGATTCCATAACAACCCACATGGAACCCATACTGTGTGTAACTGTCTTGTCTAGTTCATCTAAGTGGGTTCTCATGCTGGGGACCAGCTTGCAGGCCCCTGGCCTCATGGCTGGGAGGTATCATTTCACCATCTCTAGCATGTCTTTTTCTCCTGGGGAATGAAAATGCATGATTGCTTGTTTACTTGTTTATATCCTGCCTGTTCCCAGTGACTGGGACTCTAAACAGTTCACAAGATTAAAATTCATACAATTAAAACATTCAGAAGTATACAAACTTAAACATATAATTAAATCAATTGGATCAATCAAAATTAAACTACTACCTAGATTAAAAACACTACAAAAATATAAGCAGTAAAACTAATCCAGTGCAAACTCACAGGGTATTTCAAATGCCTACTAGAATAAAATGGCTTTAGACTGCTTACAGAATCCTAATAGGGAAGGTCCCAGTCTAGTCTCCATAGGAGGGGTATTCCTAACAATAAGAGATGATGATGATGATGATGATATTAGATTTCTACCCTTCCTTTCTTCCTCTCGCAAGGAACCAAAGAAAGCTTGCAAGTGTCTTGTCCTCTCCATTTTATTCCAACCACTCTGTGAGTTAGATTAGTTTGAGAGTTGGTGACTGGCTCAAAGTCTCCCAGTGAGCTTCGTAGCTGAGCGGGGACTTGAGCAAAGATGTCCCAGTCCCCCTCCAGTCTCTCTCTCCCGATTGTTCTTGTATCCACGTTCATGTCGACCCTTCATGATGCACTCACTGTCAGGCCCTCCCTCTCCCCAGGTCCTCTCGATTTGTCCCAAGGACATGAGAGCAGACATCTGCGTGCATCTCAACCGGAAGGTTTTTAACGAGCACCCAGCCTTCCGGCTAGCCAGCGACGGCTGCCTGCGAGCCCTGGCGGTGGAGTTTCAGACCATCCATTGTGCTCCTGGAGACCTCATCTACCACGCCGGCGAGAGCGTCGATGCGCTCTGCTTTGTCGTCTCCGGATCCCTCGAAGTCATACAGGACGATGAAGTGGTGGCCATTTTGGGTAAGTGGGTTTTCCTTTTATTTCTTCCGCCTCCTCCTGGGGGCACACGCTTGAACTGAATTGGCTTTGAACTGCAAAATGTATTGGTTCAGGTGGCACTGCCAAAAGGTAAGGCGATCGCTTGGTCGATACCGTGGCTTATTTGCAGTCCAAGTTGCACTCTCTGCCACAGCCTCCCTTCACCTCACCTCTTATCAAGAAGTCACTGAACTGTCTTATGTGAAACATTTTTGTGTGCTCATCATTTTCTGCTGTGGTTGCTTGCAGGTTTGTTGGGTGTTGGTGCAGCCCTCCAGATTTTGTTCTGTTTTTAAACAGCACTTCCAAGTGAGCTTCGTTAGAGCGGGGGAAATATGTTATTTGTGAAAGTGAAAGCAAATGCCCTTTCCACTTTCATAATTGTGCACTTTCTCCATACTACAGCGACACCTAGAGGTTAGTTAGTGGAAAAGCAGAAAAGGAAATGCTATTTATTTATTTATGGCTTTTCTATCCCATCCTGTCACAAAAAGTCTCAGGACAGTCTCTTTGCATAGTGCTCAGATCTCACTTCTGTGCCAATGCAGAAAGTAGATGTGGAGGATTAACAGCACCCTGAAGGAAAACTCAAAATCCCAGAGGGCTATTCGGTATACGTCTATCATGCAAGCCTAGCGGTCTCTCTTGTGCAACCCCCTCCCCTTACAGATGACCTTCATCAGCTGTGCTGGTGGCATAAATAGAAGCATCACTTCCAAACCATGTGAGGGACTAGCTTCCCTTTCCTCAGCGCTGGTTAGGACTCATCTGGAGTCCTGTGTCTAGTTCTGAGCAGTGCAGTTGAAGAAAGATGAGGACGAGCTGGAAGAGGTTCAAAGGAAGGGATTAACAGTGATCCGGGGACTGGAACCAAAGCCCTTATGAGGATAGATTGAAAGAACGAGGGATGTTTGCTCTCAAGAAGAGAAGACTGAGAGGAGGTGCGATAGCCCTCTCCAAGGGCTTGCAAGGCTGTCACGAAAAGGAAGGACACGATCGCTTCTCTGTCACCCCTGAGTGCAGGACATGGACTAACGGGCTCAAGTGACAGGAAGGCGGGTTCCAGGTAGACATCAGGAAGAACTGCCTGACTGTCAGAGCAGTACAACAGTGGAGCCGATGACCTAGGGAGGCGGTGGGCTCTCCCGCACCAGAGCCCCTCTGGATGCAACTGGACAGCCATCCGAGGGGGGTGGTTTAACCTGGAGTCCTGCACTGAGCAGGGGGTGGGATCCACTGGCTCTCTGGCCCCTGCTAGCTCTACTGTTCTATGCTTCTTTGATTGGCAGCTGGATGCTGTCCCCCCCCCCCACACGCACACACATACACAAGATATCCCAGAATAATGAGTGCCTTTGGCATTGTGGCAGATGCCAAGTGTTGGCCCAGTCGCTTATGCAGCTTCTGCTGCTGCTGCTGCTTGCCAGGGCAGCAAAGAAACAAACAGTGTGTGCTCTTGCAACTGCTGACAGTACGAGTAAATACCACTCCTGAAAATCTTGGAGAACGTTTCATCCTCGGAGGAGAAATTCGGTGCATTGGTGCCTTCAGTTTCCCTGCTCATGAATAGGGTGAGGGGTTCCAAGAAGGTATTTGCTCTCCATCGCTCAGCATTGTTCCCTGTGTCTGATATCCAATACGGACATGTGGATTTTTTCACAGTATACTACCTGAGTTTTGTGGAGTTTCAGGTGCTGTGTATTCCATCATCTGCTCATGGATGGAACTGGATTTTTGTGCCCAAATTTGCACTTTTGAAAATGCACAAATCCGCCCCAAATGTGCATTTTCATATTCTTGTCTTTTGGGGGAAATGGCATTTTTATACTTTAAAGAATTTTATAATTCTTTTCCTATGACTAAATTTGCATAAAGGGATGCAAAGAAAACCAAAAATCTGCAAGTCTGTGCACAGATGCAGCTTGGAAAAAACAACTCTACTGCAGAATTCATGAGCCAGATTCATGGAAATCCAAACTCAGTGGGGTCCATTAAGGATTTCTCCAACATCCCTAGTCTTCAGGACCACCTTGCTCTTTGCAGCTTGAGATTCTAACTAGGAATATGTGAGGGATCTGTTTGCAGGGTGGGAATCCATCAGATTCTGTGCTCAGGCTCCCTGGATTCCATCTTGCTCTCCCATGGCCATGAGGCTGACTTCCTTGTCAACTCACGGACCGTGCACACAACGCTTGCCAGGATTGGTCCCTGTGTAACTGCTGGGCAAGCACCTTCCCTCTGCTACACTTGATCTTCGGTCTGTTTCCAATGCACATGACATGGAAGGAACTTGCTGGTCCTGCAACTGGGCTTCCATGGGTATTCACGAACTTCCTCTCATTTTCCAAGAAAGTGCTGGGCATGAGAAGTCTGCAAACTTCCAAAGAGGGAAAGATTCCACAGTGCGTTGTAGTAACCTTAGTTCTAACTGCCACTGATTCACAGATTCACAGAATAGATGGGCCATAAGGGGCCAAGAAGGCCATCAAGTCCAGCCCCATGCTAGCGCAGGACACCGGTTACACCATTCCAATCAGATAATTATCCATTTGGTAGAATTGCCCAGCATATTATCGGAGATATGCCATCTTGGAATAGGTTGGAATAGGTGCAGCAAGTTACCCTACTGAGTAGCAGTCACTTTATCCTGCTTGCTTTTGTCTGTACTTCTCTATCTAAGCTGCGGGGCCTTATACACTTGGGGAAGCAAATTAAAAGTGCGAGTTGGACTAGACAGCTTTAGAAAAAAAACAGGTCCAAGGTTACCAGCGTGCAGAGAAATTAGATGCTCTCCGCTGGGAATTGAACCTATGCAGTTTGTACACCAGTGGCATTAAAATCAACTAAGAAAAATTAATGCAATAGGTGTTATTCTCCTCCCTCCATTTGCTCTAATTCGGCAATTAGCTTGAAATGGAGCACATTGGCGAGTGTAACAGATCACTAATACCATCGTAATGAAGTCGCATGCAATTCAGTGGCGTCTTCCCCTGGGATCCGTTTTCACAGCTCGTGCTCCTCTTCCCGACAGGCACAGAGAGGGTTGTGCTACAGCCAGGCCCACTGGGGGTGGGACCCCCGCATTCGTTCACATCTACCTATCTCTGCCCAGGCATTGCATCCGCAGGCCTGGCACATTCCAGATTTTTGTGGGCAAAACTAGACACTGGCTCTTTCCCTCTGCAAGGATTTTCTCATGTAGAAAACTAAATAAACAAATACGCATTGTCCCCTTTTAGCCACCTGGAAATATTATTTATTTATTTGTGGCATTTGTATGTCGCCCCATAGCCAGAAGGCTCTCTGGATGTCTCATAGTTGCAACCATAAACAATAAGACAGATAAAAATAGAAAATACGGATAAAAATAAATGACAATAATAACTAAAACCAGAAAACATAGAGTAAAAAAATATAAATATAACAACGGGATAAACGCAGTATAATCAATAAGACAAAAAACCAATGAAACAATAAACCAGCAGCAAGATCAATAATTATAATCTAAAAACAGATACTAATTAGAAAAGTCTTAACTTGGTGCCAAAAGCAAGATAAAGTGGGTGCCAGTCACTCTTCCCTTGGAAAAAATGCCCCAAAGTTTGCAATCTGCTACGAACTCAGGTTGGAATAAGTTTCAAGATGGAAATGGAGAGCCCCTTAAGATCTGAGGCAGAGGCCCTTCTCTGGGAGCCCTCCCTGAGGTGATAGGAGGGTGGCTGCCCAGAGAAGGGCCTTCTCAGCGGTGGCACCCTGACTGTGGAATATGCTTCCCAGAGAGGTTCGCCTGGCACCGTCATTCTATTCTTTTTGGCGCCAGGCTAAACCCTTTGTATTTTCCCAGTGTTTTAAGGTTTGACTGTTTTTAATATGGGTTTTATTGTTGACAGGTTAAGAATTTGATTAGGATGCTGTGTTTTATTTTATTTTGTCTTATCGTTAAACTATCCCAAGACTATGGTAAAGGATGGTCTAAAAAAGTTTTAAACAAACAAACATGCCCAGGTTGCAACACAAAGCTTCACAATGTTGGTCACAGGTGACCACAGCAGCCAATTCCCAGCAACAGGCAGTTAAAGCTCTTTTGCCAATTAGCCGCTGGCTCTTAAGCAATTACATGGACACCGTTACATTTAGGTTTGCAAGCAGCTTATTAATGGGATGCTTAAGAGGATCTTGATTGAAGGTGAAAGCTTCTTTTGAAGTATGAAGTGACTTAACACCTATACAGCCCTGTTATCGCCCATCCTTAAGAGAGAAGGAAGGCCAGGCTAGGGATATGTGAAGAATCTATTTGGGGGTGGGGATCCGTTGGGTTCCCTGGGCTCTGGTCCACTTTGCAGTGGTCCTGAGTTCCTGCTGAGTGCCCCCAGGTGCTTGGCACCCCCTTTCCCCTGTGACCACTGCTGGGAGCAGAAGGTTGGTCACCGGGAATGGCAGCTGGTGCACCTGCTCACAGCTCCCCTGTTCCACATCCTGCAGGCGCTGCAGATGGAAAGGTTTCCGGTTGCTCAACCGGGTGGCGGGGTGGGGGGGGTGTCTGTAAGTAGTTGCAGACTCTCTCTTGGCTCTGCTCACTTTGCGGGATTGGGCCAAGCATGCAAGGAAGTCCACAAATCTGTGAGGAACAGATGCCAAACGGTTTATCCCAACCCTAAGCCAGACCACCTTGGGGAACTCCTGCCCAGTGATTTCACTGAAAATCTAGAAAGATGTCCGCATCTACACTGAGATCTTTAACCTGCTAAGTGCACCTACTGTGTCTTAATTGTCTTTCTTCATCCATGCTGATTTTAACTGAGCAGCTCTATATCCTTTCATCTTGTACCGTTTCCCCGGGATTTTCCCCTGGGAGTCTCCCCTGGGGAGTGCACGAGGCCTGTGCTGGGCACAATGTGAGCAACCTTGTCCCCAGGAGAGGGAAAGCCCACATGCTTTATCCCCAGGGAGAAGGTCTGTCCTGTCCATCTGTGTCCACTGAT